CATCCCATGGCAGAGAGCCCTCCACGAACCTCTCCTTCTTGAGTCCTTCCCACGAGGGCCGGAGCTGCTCCAGCCTGGGCTTCCCACAGAGTCACGGGCTCCTTCAGGAACAGACACCTGCCCTGGTGCTGGGGTCTTCCAAAGCTGTGTAATCTGAGTCCACTGGCAACAAATCCACATTCACCCCTCCTGGTGCCTTCACAGAATCTTCACCTTCCTCCATGAGTGCAGGGGGACAGCTGCCATCTTGCAGGGAAACTTCTGCTTGAGCACCTTCTTCTCCTTCTTCCTCACCAACCACAGGATCTTCACCCCAGCTCCATTCTGCCTCTCCAGCTCAGCTCCTTTTTCTGCTTGCACTACTCAGGTTTTATCTCAGTTCTTTTGTATGTTAATCGCAGAAGTGCACCCATTGTCTCTCTAATGGCTCTTTGTCTAGCTCCTCAGCTCTTTACCAGAGCCAGCTACCAAACCAAACCAGCACAACCACACCATGGACTAGGAATTTGCTGGATGGTCTCACTCAAAGAATTATGGTCAATGGCTCAATATCCAAGTGGAGATCAGTGAGGACTGACATTCTTCAGGGGTTAGTATTGGGACCAGTGCTGTTTAACACCTTTGTTGGTGACATGGACAGTGGAATTGAATGCACCCTCAGCAAGTTTGCCAACAACACCAAGCCATGTGGTGTGGTCAACATGCTGTAACGAAGAGAAGCTATCCAGAGGGACCCTGACAGTCTCAAGAGGTGGGGCCATGCCAAAGTCATGAAGTTGAACATGGCCAAGTACAAAGTCCTTCATATGGTTTGGGGCAATCGCAAGCACAATTATAGCCTGGGTAGAGAATGGATTGAGAGCAAACCTGAGAAGTACTTGGGGGGGTTGGCTGATGAGAAGTTCAACATGAGCTGTCAGTGTGCACTTGCAGCCCAGAAAGCCAACCATGTCCTGGGCTGCATCAAAAGAAGCACAGCCAGCAGGTCGAGGGAGGTGATTCTGCCCCTCTACTCCACTCTTATGAGACCCCACCTGGAGTAGAGTGCCCAGTTCTGGAGTCCCCAACACAAGAAGAACATGGGCTTCTTGGAGCAAGTCCAGAGGAGGGCCATGAAGATGATCAAATGGCTGGAGCACCTCCCCCATGAAGAGAGGCTGAGAGAGTTTGGGAGAAAAGGCTCCAGGGCAACCTTATAGTGGCCTTCCAGTACCTGAAGAGGGCCTACAAGAAAGCAGGGATGAGACTTTTTACAAGGAACATGAAGCAACAGGGCAAGGGGCTGCCCAGAGAAGTTGTGGATGCCCCATCCCTGGAAGTGTTTAAGGCTAGGCTGGATGGGGCTTTGAGTAACTTGGTCTAGAGGGAGGTGTCCCTGCCCATGCAGGGGGACTGGAACTAGATGATCTTTAAGGCCCCTTTCAATGCAAACCACTCTATGGTACTCAAGTTTTTAAAGTGTTTGTTTATATATTTTATACTGATGATATTCTGATACACCAATAAAAGTGTACACCCAGGTATGAGTGTGTAATGGTCCAGAAGAACACGTGTAACTTCTATTGCATTGAAATGGAATAAATACACTTTTTTCTTCTCTATTTAGAAAAGCCTTTTTTTTGTACCTATATTCTCATTTCAACAGGAGGATTAGAGTGAAAAAAAAAATTAGTCAACTACCACTGTACCACTGTGTTCAAAAAGGAAGCAGTTCTCAACAGTTTTATTGACTGATTTTTAATTTTTAGAATAATGTATAAAGAGGCTTATGAGGGGAAAGTGTCAGAGCACATAGCTTTTTTCCTGGTTAGGGATTTTTATTGCTTTTTTTGGTTGCTTTTTAAACATGTATTATTCATCCAGGATTTTACAGTACACAGAACATGCAGAACTCTACAATTCTGACATATAATTATTCTTAACGACATTAGCAGAGACTTTTCTCTCATCTGAACACATTTATCTTTTTCAGAATGCCTGTTTTAACATGAACAGCTTTCAAAACCGAATTTTTAGTAAGCTCGTCTAAAAGCCCTAACATTTTCTCCTTTAGTTCAGTAAGTGTGGTAGCTACAACCTCCTGCTCACTTCTGCTTTGTTTTCTTTGTCTACTAGTAAGAAGAGCGCTAATTGACAAACGTCAGCAACACTTCTTCAGTTATGGATACTGCCAACATTTGTGCACAGATTTTGTCTTGTACAGCTCTGTAACTGTTAATGCCTTGGGGACAGAGGAAAAACAATCCTTTGTCTGAGACTTACATGCTCACAGTTTCAATTGCCACAATCCAATTATTTTCTTCGAGTGAAAACTATGGCCACCACCCTATTATCTCTCCAACACAAAAAATTCAATGCAGGGAGATTTTCAGTTTGAGTACTGTCAGATGTATGGGTAAGTTTAATGCAAACTGTTTTTCCCTTGTAGTAAAAGCAGTGAGCATGTTCTTTTCTGAAAGAGTCAAATAATGTAGAGTGGAAGAGACCTCTGGAGGCCATCTGCTCCTTCTGAAAGCAGTACTAACTTCAAAGTTTTTAAGGAGCCTGCTCAACTAAGTTTTAAAACCCCCAAGGACAGAGATTGCACTACATCCCTGGGCTGCCTGCTCTACTCAGGGCTTTCCCACTCTTGTTGCAGCATTTTCTCCTTATATCCATTTAGATATAACGGATATAATGGATAATTTCCTTGCTGCAACTTCTTCCTCTGGTCCTATAGCCACATTCCTCTCAGTTTGGCTCCGTCCTCTTCATAACTCCACTTCGGGTAGCTGCAAATATCAGTTAATCACACTTCCCTGGTTTTGAGTCTGTAGCATGGCCTGAGTGTTCAGTCACAGCTTCAAAATACATCAAGCAAAATACAACTGGCAAATAAATTAGTAAAATGCAGTAATTACTGCTGAATGTCACTCTCTGATCTCTGTTTGCCCACATCACCCATCAGTTTATGCATACCCTATGAATTTCTGCCCTTTTGTCTCTGAAAGCCCTACAGATTTCCCTCTGTACTCCACTCCCCACAATGTCACATTACAACTTTAAAGCTACACTGCATTGAGTTAATCCTAGCAAAAGCCAAGCCCTATGTATTAGTTCCTTCTTGCCTCAACTCAGTTACTACCTATCTATACATCTAATTTAAACATGTCAGTTATCCTATACTTCACAAAGTTCCTTAATAGTGATTCAACTATATGAAGGGCCCATGGGCATTGTTCAAGGGATTATCTTGTATCATTCTGGCACTCCTAAGGAACTTGTAGAATGCACCACACTAAGATATTGAGTAAACTTAGAGTGATCAGCTCTCATTTGGCTTCAGACCAAACATTATCACATAGAAGTTTAGTATCTCATTCTCTGAACAAAAGCAGCGCATTTGAATTTCAAACTGAAACAAGATTAAGTAAGAGATAAATTCAAAGCAACTTCATTTGGGTATAAGAGAATTTGATGACTGACAGCTCCTTCAAAGAGTGTGAGCAATTTTAATAATTTCCTATTAAGCCTGACAGAACCCTTTCCACTCGGGCAGGCTTAATTCCTCCATCATCACACACACCACACCACAATGATCATATTCTTTGAAAAAAAACCAACAAGAAACCTCTTACTTTTGACTTGCTGTTCTGGTGCTTTGATGTGTGTCACCATCCCTGGCATGTTTACACTGTTCCTGTGCAGGTATTTCAGGAAAACATCAGCATTCCTCCGTGCCAGTGTGCAAGCCTAGAGAGTCAGGGGTATTATTTTATTTGAAGATGCACACACACACATCCAGCAAGAGATGAAGAATCTACCTCATCCCTCTTTTATGCATTTCCCACCCACTCAAATTTTAAAAAGGATTGCTTCTTAAATACTTCTACAAGTAAGCCAACCCAAGCACTAAAATAGTTTTCCCAATATGTAACAGTTAACACTTACTTATCCCACAGGAAAAAAATCAAGCATCTTTTATCTAAAGATCCTGAAACGCAATTACCTGCTCTAGCGCTTTCAGCGTGATGAAGACCTCACAGAGAAGTTTGTTTTGGATCTGTGCTGTGTGGCACTTGAAACTATATATTGTGTAAACAGAGTGCACATGCTTAGGTAATCACTTGGATAATCCAAAATATCCACCACTACTTTTGTGTCCAGTTCTGGGCCCCTCAGTTCAAAAAGGACAGGGAACTGCTCAAAAGAGTCCAGCGCAGAGCTACAAAGATGATTAAGGGAGTGGAACATCTCCTTTATGAGGAAAGGCTGAGGGAGCTGGGTCTCTTTAGCTTGGAGAAAAGGAGACTGAGGGGTGACCTCATCAATGTTTACAAATATGTAAGGGGTGAGTGTCAGGGGGACGGAGTTAGGCTTTTCTCAGTGATGACCAGTGATAGGACAAGGGGTAATGGGTGTAAATTGGAGCATAGGAGGTTCAAGGTGAATATCCGAAAAAATTTTTTTACTGTAAGAGTGACAGAGCACTGGAACAGACTGCCCAGGGAGGTTGTGGAGTCTCCCTCACTGGAGACATTCAAAACCCACCTGGATGAGTTCCTGTGTGATGTACTCTAGGTGACCCTGCTCTGGCAGGGGGGTTGGACTAGATGATCTCTCGAGGTCCCTTCCAGCCCCTAAGATTCTATGATTCTATGATACTTTAAATGAAAAGTAAATGCTCTGCTGAAGTGACACGAAAAGTGCTAAAATATTAAGACATGCTCTTAAAATATTAAGACAAGGCTTTGAGAACTTTCAGTCCTCACCCCCTGTACTGCCAACACTCAGCTCAGCTGCCTTCATCTTACGTACACCAAGTACTACATATGGGCTGGCTGCTTTATTTTTAATAAGGAGAACATAAAATGCTACTTTAAAAGGCTAGAGAGAGGTAGCATGGTTAGATTCAGTAACAGAGACACAAAGTAATTTCTCAAATTGTTTGAACACAAGGACAGGAAACTCACATGCCACCTGCAGAAATCTGTTTGACAGTATAATTTGAGCTAACCTGATAAATTTTTTAACATCTTCATCTGCAAACAAAATGCATTTAATACAAACCAGTTTTATACTCTGACATCTTTGAAGGTGATGCTGGTCAAAGCCTTTGGTTACAGGGTTAGTTACACTGCTTTGCAAGCATCACCTTCACAAGGACATTAGTTGGGAACTTGAACTTTTCATTTATCTGCAGATTACTGCACAAACCCAACTACTCCCAGATGCCCGTCTAGCAATTTCCTTCTTCTGTACTCTACTGTAGTCCAAGTAGATCTGAGAGCTGCTTTGATGTACAGGCAGCAATGGTACCATGTGACTGTCACTTCTCTTCCAAAGCAGCAGTCTCTAAGCACTCTTTAGAATGACAGTTGCTCAAAGCTGTGATTCATGGTTCCTCTTCAGTCACAGTGGGAAACCTGACATCTATTGAAGTTCAACAGGAAATATTTATAAAACTGGCTACAATTTTATGTACTTGGCAGTGTTCCCCTAATCACTGTCACAAGCATTTATTGTGCCATGTCCCAAATCTCTGCAGTTTGGGACATACCTGTAGCTTTTGAACGGGCACTGTTGCTTTTCCATTTCAGCACTTTAAGAATAAGCATTTGACTGCATGCTTTCCTCAACAGAAGACACAAAAAATGGCAAGCCCTACCTTTAGGAATGCCTCCTTCTGTTCCAGATGTTTGCTTATCATGGGAGTAACATGATCTGTTTCGGAGTTGGGACCTAGTTTGTCTGCTCCCCCACACCAGTCTTCTTCTCGCTTATATTCTTGTTCCAGGCTTTCCAGCACGCTGCACACCTATCAGGAAGGAGGAGTCCAAGTCAAATATAATCAAGACAAAAAAGCCAAATTCAAGCAAAAAAAACCAAACCAGAAAGCTGATCTACCCCTTACATGTACCTTAGCTTCTGACATATTTTGACTAGGACTTAAGAAAAAGGCAACAGACCTTGGCTGCATGCACTGGCCTGCTTACATGGAATAGGCTATCCATAAAGTTGCTCATCTTTCTCTTCCTCTGTGACTACATAGTTTGCTATGGGCTTAAGATATGATTGCAGAAGAACCAACCTTGCCAACCTTCCCCCTAACTCTTCTGTGGACAAGTAGGGTGAAACTGATTTTTTTTTTCTCACTCCCACACAAAAACCATGATTAGCCATCTGAAGTACTTCCAATAAAACCTCTGTGCGAGTTGTTTATGGTTTAAGCAAAACTTCTTGAAATCCAACTAAGCACATTTATAGAATCACAGAATGGTTTGAGTTGGAAGGCACCTTAAGGATCATCTACTTCCAACCCTCCTGAACAGGCAGGGACACCTCCCACTAGATCAGGTTGCTCAAAGCCACATCCAGCCTGGTCTTGAACACTACCAGAGGTGGGGCTTCCACAGCTTTCCTGAGCAACCTGTTCCAGTGCCTTACCACCCTCACAGGAAACAATTGTCTAACCTAAATCTCCCCTCTTCCAGTTTAAAGCCACTACCCTTTATCCTATTGCTATAGGCCATTGTAAAAAGTCCCTCCCTAGATTTCCTGTAGGCCCCCTTGAGGTACTGGAAGGTTGCTATGAGGTCTCCCCCGGCCCTTTTCTTCTCCAGGTTAAAGAAATGTAACTCCCTCAGCCTGTCTTCAAAGGAGCGGTGCTCCAGTCCTCTGATTATCTTCATGGCCTTCTTCTGGACTTTCTACAGGAGCTCCATGTCCTTCTTATGTTGGGGGCTCCAGAACTGATTACAGTACCCCAGGTGGGGTCTCATGAGAGCCAAGTAAAGGGCTCCTCCAAGTAAAGAATCACCTCCCTAGATCTGCTGGCATGCTTCTTTTGATATAGCCCATTAATCTTGAAAATGTTTTACAAGTCTTTTCTCAATTAAAAATAAGAATCTGAGGAACATTAAAAGGGAGAGTGATAGAAGAGACAGATGAAGATTTCGGTCTTCATTGATAATCACTATACTTTGGTTGTGCAGTCTCTTTGAAGTCTGCTAATTGAAACAAGTGTAGCCAGACCAATTACATCATAATCTCTTAGTACAATTTGTCTGCTACTCATTTATCATAAAATGGTTTGGGTTGGAAGGGACCTTTAAAGATCATCTATAGCTCACCCTCCCTGACATTTTCACTAGATCAGGTTGCTCAAAGCCTTGCCCAAGCTGACTTCGAGTACTTCTAGGGAGGGGGCATCCACAACTTCTCTAGGCAACCTGTTCCAATGTCTCATCACCCTCATCATAAAAAATGTCTTCCTCATATCTTATCTAAACTACCCTCTTGCAGTTTAAAACTGTTGCCCCTTGTCCTGTCACTACAGGCCTTGCTAAAAAGCCTTTGTCTTATAAGACCATTTTATATACTGAAAGGCTGCAACACAGTTTCCCTTTCTAAGGCAGCTGGTAAGTGGATTTGCTTTTTGTATTTTTTTATAACTGCAGTTGTTATTAAATTAATAAATATAACCAAACCTACTCGACCGTTGGCTTATTTTAGGCAGTGCTGGTTTATGGAATCATACAATTGTTTTGGTTGGAAAGTACCTTTAAGATCATCAAGTCCAGCCATTTAACTTAGCACACTTCAAGTCCACTGCTAAACCATGTCCCTAAGCATCACATCTACACGTCTCTTAAATACCTCCAGGGATGGTGACTTGATCACTTCTCTGGGCTGCCTATTCCAGTTACTGACAAACTTTTAGATGAACGAATTTTTCCTAATACACAGTCTAAATCTTTGCTGAGACAACCTAAGGCCACTTTCTCTTGTTCTACTGCTTGTTACTTGGGAGAAGAGACCAACCCCCACCTCACTACAACCACCTCTCAGGTAGCTGTAAAGAGTGAGAATGTCTTCCCTCAGCCTCCTCTTTTCCAGGCTAAATATCCCCAGCTCTCTCAGCCATTCGTCATAAGACTTGCTCCCCAGACTCTTCACCACCAATGTTGTCCTTATTTGGACCCTCTTCAGCACCTTTATGTCCTAGGGAGGGGCGCAAAACTGATCACAGTATTCAAGATGCAGTCTCACCAGTGCCAAGTACAGGGGGACAAACACTTCTCTAGTCCTGCTGGCCACACTACTTCTGATACAAGCCAGGATGCTGTTAGCCTTCCCGGCCACACTGCTGGCTCACTATCAGCTGGCTATGCCTCACCGAAGAATTAAACAAGGGAGACACAGATCACATAGCATTTCTGTACCTGTTCAGAAGTTTTATAGAAGGCAACAGAGGCATTCACAAGCTTGAGACGGTCCTCCATCTTCAACATCAATTGTTGCCAATGGGAAGCAACCTTCTCTGCACACTCCCGGATCATATCCATGTCATAGTGATTAGCCTGCAGCATTGCCTCTGCCTTCTGCTGAACACTTTGATGTGTTTTCTGACAAGAGGGGAAAATTCAGGAGTTCAGTGCAGCACGTCAGTTCATTTTCCTGAACACCTTAAAGGCTCATATTTCCATAGTATCAATGACATCTCTATACACATGCACAGACATCCATTAACTAAAAATAACTGTCTAATATTAGTCAATACATTACTTCATTTATGCAAATACAAAGGAAATAAATCCTGTACAGTTTTATCATCAAATCAACAATACCTAGCAGTTTACAAACTATAACCACTGCACAGCATTAAGTCACACATGGCATATCTATGCTGCAGTACACTTTACTATAATTATGATTTTCGGGTTGGTTTTCTCTTTTTTTCTTTCCTCACCCTTCATGGCAAGGGGAAAAAAAAGATGAAAAGGTTGTATCTTATTTGGCATGATTGCTACCATTGTCCTCACAGCTTTACAGCAGCCTTTTGCACATTAGCAGTGAGCAAATGAAGGTGCAGGCACGCAGGACAATACAAAATACAACTCTCCAATCACTGTAAGCAAATTTTTAACTAGAGTTCTCTATGTAAACATATACTTGCCTAAAATCTGGATCCTCTAACTATAATAAATATTATTACATCCAAATACTGAATGATCCAGAAAACTCAGAATTTAAACTTCCTAATAATCTTTTCTTAAATTGACAAATGCCTAGAGGCATCATGAGAGTTACCAAAGCTCTCAAAATGACTGTACAGATAGTGCAAACTGTAAAAAAACCTTAAAATAATTTAAAAAAATCTGCAAAACCCAGAGAAGGGGAAGCATAACTCCACTGAATGGCAAACATGAAAGGAGTTACTGCACAAAAGACTATTTCTGAAAATTGTTTTCCCAAACAATCATAACTCTGGTTAGTCTTTCAACAACAGTAAAGTTCTTAAAAAGAAGTGTGTTATATATAATTGATATCACCTTTAAGTCACTCAATTATGCATACAACTTAAGAACACTACATTCCAGTCCATCTTAGATCTCTATTTTTTGCAAAGATTTGCCCAATCCAGCAAGTTAGTTTGAAATTATGGCTGGAGGATGGATACCCCACCACAAACAAATTTCAGTGAAACCTACTATAAAAAACTATGGAAGTATTAAAGGACTGTATAAGAATACACAAAACTGATGTTTGCTGTTTCATTTATTTTTAAATTTAACAGTTAGCATTATATTGTTGTATTCAGAAAAATGTAAACACCATTTTTGGTAAAATTCCTGTGAACAGACTTGTTCAAGTAATTATAATTTTTTTTAATTACTCTTCAACCAATAAATGGCTATCGCTTTACAAAGAGGCACTGAGATGATGTGTTCTTCTGGAACTGAAGCTCCAAATTAACAAGAACAAAAAAAAGGTATCTTCTCAATAAGCATTTTTATCTCTTCGCCATAAAATGATTTAAACAGCTTTTCTTAAACTAAAATATTGTAGTCTTAACCCAACATTATGAGAAGGGACAGAAGAGATACATTCTCTTTACTGTGGTGCTATTTACAAACTGTAAATACAGGACTTCCTGGCTTTTGTCACTGAAATGGTGCTTTTACCTCTATTGCATGTTGAAACTGTTCATGTTCCCTCTGTAACTGTTCGGCCTCCTGCAAAGAACTAGCAGTGATAAGCCCAGCATTTAACATTGACTCTCCGTTTCGGATCCAGCCCAAAACCTGTAAGCAAAAGAGAAGACCATGAAATATGCAATTCCACTGCCAGTCAGCAAGGTAAGTATCAGTGCTAGGGACAAAAACATTTGCGGCCACACGCAGTACTGGAATTGTTAATTAAAGAATTTACTAATTATGTAGTTACACTGAATTATATCTTCAATAAACACAGTGAATTATATTAACTATAATTTCACTTAGTTGGAAACTCCTATCTTTCATTCAATTACTACATGCTTGTGGCTTCAGTTTATACTCTGAATGAGGCTGAGCTTCTGAATGCTTTCTGTCACCTGGGAAACAAGAACAAGTTACAAGCAAGATTTGCCTAAGAGCCAGTGTCAGTAATGTAAATTGAGGACATCGCAGCTTACTAAAAAGTAGCTAAAGAATTTTGAGTATTAGTTTTGAGGGAAACATGATCACTGAGTGCTTTCTAATTGTTTAAAGGTATTTTGTTGTGCCTTCTTTTACATGTCCACTGAAACTAGAAGAATCCTCAGGTGGGAAGAAGCCTCCTAGTGCATTCCTTATCAACAGCAGGAACATGCCACCTGAAGGCACCTTGCAAAAGATCTGTGCTTCATTCATTACTCAAGAGTGCAATAATGGACACCTTGTACTCTCACCAGACATTTTTATCACCACAAGTCTTCTTTCTAATGTGTAACATTCAAGTCTCTAACTTCAGTTAATTTTGTTCTTCCTGCCCACAAAAAAAACCCCAAAACAACACAACAAAACATTTTATCTCTCTGAGCATCAGCCTTGTTTTTCACTCCCCTCTCTCTCTCAAGAACATTACCCAATTCCCTCCTCTAGGCTCCTCTTCTCTTGTTGACCTCAGTTTCTTCAACCTTTTCAATGTAAAGTTAGCTGCCCAGTTTTTCTCACTGTCCTTTTATAAGCTGTCTTCAGTTGATAACCACCACTTTGATAAAAATCCTTCAAATACTAAATGAAGCTGAGCATAATTCAGGATATTCACTGTCATCTGTACAACCTTTCTATGCAACTGCAGCACAGTCAGTAATTACACCTGTTCTGTATTTGTTCAGCTGATTATTCCTGACAGTACATCATGCTCTGTATTTGTCAATAATAAAATTCGCATCCTTCATGCAACACAATTCTCCCCTTCATCAAGATAATTCTGATCTGTAATTCAGTGTCTTCTGATGAACTCCAATCCCTTTTCCAGCTTTTTTTGCCTTTACCTTAAAATTTAGAAGATTAATTTCTATTTGTAACATACAGATTTTCTGACTGAAAACACAAACTAGTATGCAAATACAGAGTTCTACAGATTTCTTTAAAGATTTTGAAATCTGTTTTCCAATCCAGTGAGTCTCTTAGCTTTTGTTACTGAATATGGTTTTCCAGAAAGTTATCATTCCTGGTAATGTAGTCTTATATGACATTCTCATAGTAAGCTAGGGCCAGACAGACTGAACTAAACTATTTTAAAAGCTTTAATAGAAGGAAGATCTATGTCATCTGCTTTTTCACCTCTACCCAGAAGACCTGCTATGTTGTCAGGAAGATACAGGATTTATAAAGGGGAAGGTATGATTAATTCATTTATGTTAGCCTTTTCTCCTCTCCTCATCACTGTTCAGGTTTAATAATTTGTTTCAATATTTTTCCTGGGAATTATGTTAAACTAGCTGACCTATAAGCCTTCCTTAGCTAATCCTTTCCTACTTTTGAGAAGTAAATGTTGAGTTCCAGGCCTCCAGAACCAATCTCCCTAAGTTTGGAGAAGATAAACACTACTGTCCAGGACAGTTTTTGTTAGGTACTCTAGGGTGAATTCCTTTGGGACCAGTTGATTTCAAAAGAACCAGTTTAAACATACCTTCTCTACCTTTTCCTACAAATGGATTTTAGACCTTTAGCCACTGCTAATAATTATATTAACTAGCAATCACAGTTAGCTCTTATAGGACTAAATACTCTCATCTGGTGATCCACATACAACACTACCATTAATGCTCGTAAGTGAATCAAGATAATAGGACATGGACTGAAAACACAGGCAGAAACCAGGAAAAGGACCTATTAAAACACAAATCCCAAGAACAAAGGGAGGTCCGCATCCCAAGTATACCCTAATGTTTTCAACAGCTTGTAGCAACAGAGGTCTACCCATCTTGACATGACATCCTTTCCCTCAAAACTGCATCACAATCTCACTTTTTGTTTTATGTTTATCCAGACTGCAATATTGTTATATTGGTAATGCAGTTTTTCTCACTTCTGCCTGTACAATGAATTGCTAACAAGTTGGGTTTTTTCCCAATTGCATTCTTCTATACAACATCTGCAAGTCTGTGGAAACAAGTAAGTCTGCAGTGTGGATGCGGGACACAACAGCACCTCCCAGAGGCATTACCTGGGTGCACACTCTGCTCCTCTTGGGAGAAGGCACTGGATCAGGTGAAACCTCGCAGGGGGAAGACAGCTCTAGCCTTGGATCAACCTCTCCTGCTGCAAGGAGGACACCTCCAGATCACAGCGTGGGGCAGGTGAAAGGAACTGGCAGTTTCTAAGTTAAGACACCTGGGGGGCTGTTAATACTCAAAGTAGCAAGCTCAGGTAAGCCTCAGGAGAAATAAATGGGAAAACTCCCAAGGGAATTAGACAGGTCCAACAAACTGTAGACAGAAACTATACTTGGAGGAAAGGGTTTGTCTGTAAGAACACAGGGGCCAGAAGTTTTTTTAAATCCCTTTTATATTTCTATTTTGTCTTACAAATGCAGTTCTAAGTTCCCTCTCTACTTTACAAAATAAGGAAGGAAAGCATCCAGCAGCACTTTCCCCTTCCCTCTGCTCTGACTCATGGGGAAAACAATTGCTAGTAAAAAGCAAGCCTGTTCTTTTTCCAGGGCTGCTGCCTTCCACTTTTTGCTGACATGTTCTCATCACCTCACTGTCTGGGTGGGCCATGCACCCCATCTTTCCTCTCCCAGCTTTCAGCAGGCTAGAAAAGTGTAAGCTAAACTGTGGAAATTAAATAGCTCTTTGGACATTTGAGAGTCAAGTAGGTAGTTCTACAGATATACACTCAATTTAAGATTACTTTTTTGGACTGACTTTTCATTCTCCCTAAATATGATCACAAGACAAACCTGTTTCAGCCTGCTGTCCTAGCTACGTTCACGTATCCATATGGCACTATGTGGAGTGCCAGGATACTCTTCCTGAGCAGTATTTTGGGATAATCGGAGCTCAAGCACTGAGCTTTTTCTAAAAGACCTGCATGTGAGAACACAAAGCAGCTCAAAGGACTCTGGAGGGTACAAGCCTGCACTTGGTACAAGTATCTGTACACTATTTACTGGTCTGAGCACATAAGTATATATCCAAGAACAAATACCATGATCAGAGCAGCAGACAATATTGCACTGAAAAGGCTTAATGAGCACAGTAAAAATAATGCATTTTGGAGCTTGGTAGAGATTCTGACCAAGGCAGATGCTGTATGTTAAGTAGAGCAAAGCATTCATTCTACAAAGTGAGTACGTAGGAGTGATTGCAGCAGTAAGTAATCCAGCAGCTATATTCTAGGCGATAAAAATAAGTTTGTCTGGCAAACACACAAGTGGCGTTCTGGATGAGACAGATATTCTCTTTAACAATTCTCTGCCTCTATATATTCATATGCTCCCTGCCCTGTATAAAAAGGTCACATTTTCCTTTCCATGTTGGTTTTTTTCCATGTACTGCTGAGCCTTACTTCAGTAAGCATCCTCTTCCCCTGATCTTCTGAGGTTTTCCTGCACTGTAATCTATCTTGTTTTGCCTTCTGTGTAGCTATTATATGTAAGTTGACAAGGAAATTCTCCACAGGTTTTCTTTAAACCTCTCTTCATCTTTTGGCCTTTCTGCTTTCTCCTAGTCCTGAGACGTGATCTACAGAACTTCAATGCCATGAAGTAGAATTCATACAGCAGTTAAGGGAGAAGCAACCCTGGATGATTTATGTTTCCTGTGCTCACAAGAAACCTGGGTACACTTGATAAGAATTCACTAAGCTCAAAGTTTTGCTATCTAGTACTGAAAAGATTCCTTCCAAGTATTTGATTAAAAAACTAAGCCAGAAGACAGTTTGCTGCTCTCCATTACAGTAATCTGAGAGATGAACCCTACGGAAAAATTCCTGCAGTGTTCCAGTCTAAACTTTTCACATGACTACAAGCTATATATTAAAAAAAAAAAAAAAAAAAGTTATATAAAGAAATACAATAGCAGTAATGTCAGTTTGGCAGAAAAATTCAAATGGAAACCTTGTAAAAACCCTTGCTATGGAGACAGTATCCCATCTGCGTATTAAGTATGCTTACACCCAGTTCATCAACAATAAATCTGGCAGAAAAATCACAGTAATTGAACTGGAAAACTATGTGTTCACTGCTGAAGGCAACAAAAACCAAACAAAACAGACTGAAAGGGAGGTTTACCACGTCATTTTAGTCTCAGGTAAAGCACCTGCTGTGACCCGCTGAGCTGTAATGTTTTTCCCAGTGCAAAGGAAACAGAAGATCATGCTTCCTGATATTTAATAAGAACTAAATCAGATGTGGTTTTTGAACAGGCAACTGAAATCACAGATCTGGAAGTTACTATCCACAAAGCATTCCAAAGGGGATCAAAATAAATCCTATGAGACAATATAGCATTCCATTTTAGTTCCATTCAATTTTTAGGCCTTCAAAGTAGGCAAGTACTGCAAGTTCATCTGTACAGGGTAAAGCTGGAAAATGAGTTTGTACTGCACAGTGTCAGCTACATATTCACGCAAGTTTGTTTGAAAATTCACGTCTATTATGGCATTTAATTCAACATAAAATACCACTCCATAAGATGTGTACTAGGAATACAAAATAGAATCAATTTTTTTCTCCAAATCCCCACTCTACTAAGAAAAGGCATCTGGCTAGTATAGCATCATAGCAGTATTTTTACTGTAAGATGAATTTATTTTTTCCAGTGCTTAAAAATCTAAACTTGAGTTTCAGTTTCAGTCAAGGCTAGCAGTGTTTTAAATTTATGAAGATCTTACAGAATGACCTACAAAAAGCACACACTAAGTACAACACAGATATACCTCTACAATCCATGATGTTCATCATCTGCTTATATCTGTCAAAATATAGAAGAACATTTATTCTGCAAACACAGGTTTTAAACATCTGTCTTTTTCTTGTCAGTCATCTTTAACTTGCATACATACACAAAGGTAATGGAGCAAGGTACTCACTTCATTGTGAGAGTATGCAACATAAATAACTATTTAATAGTGTGTCTTTGAAAGACTCCACTTCATTGTGAGAGTATGCAACATAACTATTTAATAGTGTGTCTTTGAAAGACTAAGTGCTCTATTCTGTTCTGTAATGGTGTAGTATTATTTCAGTATCATGAAAATTAACAATTTCTTTTTCTCACTAACCCATCCCATCCTAATCCAGTGATGTACCTCAAAGGGATGAGACTGCCTCAGCTGTCAGGCAGATGCTTTCTTTTTATTTATTTCTTTCCTTTGCAAATGTGCATTCACTTCCTTCATCTTCAAGGTAGTATGCAACCGTGTACAGAAACCATCCTGATCTGCAACAACTTCATTTCAATCATTACTCATGTGAGAGGAGTCATCATAATTTTCATTTATGAAGATGAACAAGTACTAAGACAGATACAGGACACTTCAGTAGACTATGCGTAGGCTTTATCTAGAAGGTCATACATTTGACTAACATCATAAATTGCACTGACACCAGACACTACCAGTTCCTTGCATTCATTCCTTTAATTCAAGACCACATAGAAACTTTGGGTCTGCTACTAAAGTAACCGACCTCTGCCTGCAAATACTTTTGGAACTTTCTATCCACCTCTCCTATATTAACTGGACCCCTTTTATATTACTTTGCAATTTGGGAATTCTTGTGTACAGTAACATGAAAATGATGACATTTTCTAAGAGCTCACAACAAATAAAAAAAGGACAGGTTGGATTTGGAGCCATTTTGGGACATTAATGCCACAGACTTAAGAAGACTTCTGTGATGCTTCCAAGTGTGAGCAACATCAAAAGTTCTTACCTTTCTAGTGTTTTATTTATTTGTTTTTCAAACTTTCACCTACTTCAGTAGTTTTGCCCACAGCACCTCAAATTCACCAAAGATTTAGATGTCCACCAGATAAGGACCTCAAAACTTGACACTTTATTGCCAAAAAAAGCATAACCTCATTTTTCTTCTCCCGGAAAGAAAATACTGCTGTTATTATGCTATCATCATTGGTACATGTCTCAAACAATATAGCAAAAAGTATTAGGTCAGTGTTCAGGGAATATCACTGAACATTTTTAATAACCACCACACAGATGACAGAAGTATGGATTTGAAATTACTTCAAATTGCTCTACACTTCAAATACTTGACTTGTATCCAGGTAGAAATATGGGCTGTGAACGCAAATTAAAACCCACAATATTAACAGAGGATGGAGTTTCTTACATGCTCAGTCTGAAGTCCCTCTAAATGCAAGACTTTCTACAGTGGAAATCAGCGTTCCATGTCCCTGCAGGAGAGCATGCCTCCCAGAGGAGGCATGGAGGGCACTGGGGGAGAAGCCTTGAGGGGAAGACAGAGCCCTTGTGTACCTGCTTGACCTCAGCCTGGAGGTGCCGCAGCTGAACACACTGCTCGAGGTGCTTGCGGTGCTGCTCAGCTGCCAGGTCCAGTTCCTGCTGCTTCTCATGGAGGAACTCCAGCAGGTCCTGCACACGGGTTGCCATATCCACATCTCTGTCACAAAGCAGCTCCACGCCTGTAATCACCCAGTTATTTATAAATTACTTACAGGTCTCCCGAAGACAAACAGCTTGTTCCCACTCTTTTTACATTTACTTTTCCAGTTCCTTCTCAAAGTTCAACTTATTCCTCTGAGCATTTGCTTAGATAAGTATAGTTTTTGCACTCTTTAAAAATGCAGTATTAACTTTTTTTTTTTTAAAGAAGTCTTCGATGTGCTCTAGCTGACCATATACAGTTGAAAAAAATCAGGTGAAAGCGTGTAAGAAACAAAAATGCAAGACTTATTACTTGAAAGCTTAAAACTTTGTTTGAGTGCATTACTCTGATTAACTATAAAATTAACTCCCTGCTATTTACTCTAAATGTAGTGCCTTCCTGACTGAATTCCCTTTTTAAAAACCAAATATTGGCAGATGTTGCCAATGGGTGCTATCAAATTATTTGAGTCCACATATCTCCAGCTTACAGTTAACCAGCATCTCTGTCAGTTTCACACATCCCATGGAGAGACAACTGGGTAATTCTTACAAAGCCACTGCCCAGAATAGCACAAACGAGCCATCTTACCAGATGCCTGCACTTCATTGACATACTGCAGCAGATCCTGCCCTTGGTGGATGACATCAAAAGTCAAGTTATTCATGGTCAGGGCTTTGTCTGCATGATGCTGAAGCCTCTGTTCTGCTATTGTAAGATCTTCAGTGTCAAAGTCATTCATCTGCTGAGAGAGCTCATCATTCCAAGACTCGAGATCTGAAATTATCTACAGGGGAAAAGGAGGAAGACGATGTTCACTTACTTGTTAGACAATGTACATTTATTTCAAATGTTGTACTTACGATGGAGGTCAGGAAACCAAGATGCTCATTGTTGATTGACCTCATTGGTCAGGTTCAACGTGGTTCATAGGCTTTTCCACCATGGGTTTTAAAGAAGAATTTCTTTGAGAACCACAACAGTTCTCCATCAACCAGTACTTGCAACACTATGGGCACCCTTGCCTTGTTTAAGGTACTCTGTCACTCACACATCTCTTGTGACACAGGTGTGAACTCCAGAGTTCTACAAATTCAGGAGTAGGACAAATTGATGTGAATGGTGCTAAATTACAGGAAAACACCTATTTATGCAGCAAGACACAGCAAAAATGCAAGGAAGTAGCTGGTTCCACAAATATTTAACCAAAGTCATTTGTTGTCAGCAAAAGAAATATGTCACTATGCTTTCCAAGTGGTTAAGCAGAGCCATGAAGTCACTGAGACAGTTAAACTACAAGAAAAATTCCAGGAAGACAAACCTTGTAGAATTGAGGAGAAAGCTACGTTAAATCATCTGTATGAAGTTTCTGTAGTCCGCTACCTTCTCTTGTTGACTTGTTTCTATTCTGCTCACGTGGCATCATAAAAAACGGACACATCAAGTAATTGTTTTCAAAACTATGGCATCAGTGAGTTTACTTCCTGTTTTAAATGAGTTTTGCAATAATTGTATTTGATTCACTAAGCATTCAAGTTTTGCATCATGCCATGATGGAAGATACCAATTAGGATGACTACTTGCAATCCCTAACTAGCTCTAGATCAAAGTGAAAACAGACATGTTTCAAGGGTAACACTTAGAACAGAAAAGCTGGTGGACAAGCGATGCAGGAAGATACACAGGACAAGACCTTTAAAGTCACTGCTTAAAGCTTTTTTACTCACTCCAAATATTGCACAAACTATCTACTCATGCATTATGAATGGCTTCCCCTTCCACAAAATCCTTCCCAAATTCTCTTATTTCTCTTGAACTTGGTCCATGCCCAACATGATTCATCACCTCTTTCTATTCCTCATCTCCTTTTAAATTGACCTGAAATATTTAAAAATTCAAGTTTTCCTGACAGACCAGCCTGAGATACTGCATACTTGCAAGCTAACCCCCTTCTGTGCCCTCACAAACCTGCTCTTCACAGCTTATCTTAAAAACTCTGTTTTCATTCACTACTCATCCAGATCACCTAACATTAATAAGTTATCCTCAAGAAATAATTGTAGTTAACTTGTTCCAACTGGAAAATCTGAGTGTTAAAGAAGGTTGTGAAACTTCACTGTCAAAACATCATCTCTTTGCTGTCTTTCTAAACACCATCAAAAAGTGGATTTATGTGGTGTTATAAAGAAAAGCTAGTCCATCTCCCTTCAGAACAGATGTCAAAACCTTACCTTCTTTACTATAAAATTGAGTGAAGATAAAGTAATAAACACCGTAAGCTGGCAACGGGAGACCACTGTGGCTAAATGTCAGGATTTTTATAATAATGGAATGGTTTAAATAGATTGTAGCTACTATGTCCTCTCAGGCTGTCCTGCTGTGAACCTGCTATGAACAACCGGTAGTTTGAAGAGGTTAACACCATGTGCCACGTCAGCCAAGAGGTTTCAGTGATACTGCCTCCAAAGAACAACGACGAATAACAGTAAGAATTGCAACTTCTTCACATGTTGTTTCATGCAACCTTGAGGTTAAGAACAGGGCCCACACATTGTTTAAAGCAGTCTGAAGCACTCTGTGTAAGAGCAAGATATTCCCTGTCCCATTCAAAATAACAGGAAGCCCTCAATTCAAATAAATAATGCCAGCATGGTCCCACACTTGTTGAAAATATAAGACGTCTGTGCACATCACAGCTGGAGTTCCTAAGAAGGGCAGCAATCCTTAATTTTTTCAGCAGTAACTGGGTGGCTCAGAATTATCTATTTCAGCCATTGCACCCACCACGCAAATTGGAAATACACTGAAGGGCAGAATTAAAGAAAAATAATATGGATTAAACACTCTGCCCACACTCTTCAAGGCTTCTCCTGAAGTTCTGCTTTAGAAGCAACACTTTTAGAGTAAGCAGGGTCCTATTTAATTTTTAAAGTTTTGTCAAGATAATTAGCACTCAACAAACAGAACAAAGATGAAAGTAATGACTAACAGCCATGTAAAGTGACTGAATCACAAATCAATACTGCTCTCAGGAAATGGACAACTCAGAAAAAACACAAGGTAACGACTTACCATAGTGTGTGTTCAGGAGGTTCCTAGGGCAGAGTCTGAGCTGCCTGACATTCCTAGGTTCTAACAAATGTAAAGGCAACACTGACAGGACATACAACAGGGTATAACACAGAAGGGACCTTTTCAGAAGGCCTAACTAGCATTCCTTGTACCAACTGAGTACTACCCAGGACCTGGAAAATATTATGGGCTCAGAAGAAAGAAAAACAGATGGGAAAGGGAGAAGAGTTAGGTCTCTACGATCCAGCACTCTGCATCCTTGCCTTTTCAGCTGTATGACTTAACAGGCATCTTGTAAGTATGATCCAAAAATAGAGTAGAGATAAAGCTGTAAGTTGAAAAGTGTGTGGTATGCATTGTGCGGAGCCCTGACACAGGCACAGAGGCATTTAAGATACAGACAAGCAAAAACGCACAGGCAGAGATGCGATGCAGACATTTCAGATTTCACACATTGCCACTGGTGTACTCCCACTGGCTGGGTCACATCTTCCTTATGCTACTGATCACGTACCAAGGGCCTCTTTGCATGCATTTTGCTCTCCCTTGCCATTAGTTAATACAGGTGCTCACAAAAGAGCCCTTCAAATAGCTCACGAACAATGACACTTAAAAGCCTACTGAGGATAGAGAAAGTCAAGTTTACGTGCCAAGAGCAAATGGCAAACCAGAAACAGTGGTGCAGCTAGAGCTATTTCAGAAGAGAAGAATTTGAAAAGTTGCAGGATAAAAGACAGCAACTAAAAGAAACAGAGTATTTTGTCAGGGCAGAGTAAGGATAAGAAGAAGAGGACTAACCCTGCCAGCAAATTACACCACTGTCCCCATGAGCACAGCTGCACTCTGTGAACCTGCAGTGCTAGGAGAACCCTTTGTCCCATTTTAGCCTGTGTTATTTTGCAAGCAGTAAGAAAAGCTAGAAACAGTACTCGCCTTACAGAAAAACTGTCCTCACAGGATGCTTCCCTGAATGAACTGCCCCTGCAGCCAAGTCTTAATTGACTGGGCCAGTCACACAAAATCCGGGACAAAGAAGGAGGTCAAAACAAGGTCTGCAAGTTCCTAGCTGGCATCTGGCTCCTCCTCAATATCATGTTACTTCAGCTGAGCTTCTGCTTTCAAACAACTGACCTGGAACTAGTCCCTGCATTTTCTTCCCGGAAGTTTCCGAACAGATGTCTGCCTTCAGGGAGAGGGAAAAGAGAAGAATGCTTTGCTGAGGAAGCAGAGCGAGGACGTGGTACAGAGACAGCAAAGCAATGAACATTTTGCTGAAGACGCTCTGCAGTCAGGGTGATTTCATTCCCTGGAGGGCTTCCTGGCAATCTTAGGTAAGTATAATTTTTGTTTCCAAGTCATATAAACAACATACACTAACTCTTTTGACAAGGTAATTGATACTTTGCTTTGTGTTTGATATGCCAAAATGTAAAGCATGCCAAGTGTCAGTTTTAGAAAAAAGCAAGACCTGCCAAGTTAGTGTATGTGGCTTTCCACTGCAAAATCCTATGGCCATCACCAAATAACATACACAGAAGTACTATTATCTATACAGATGCTATCCTGTACTGGACTAGAACACATCTGCAAAGCAGGGCTCCTGCAACCACCTTTCAGCTATTGTATGATACCAGTTTAGATAACCTACAGCAAAGAGCAATCACCTTAATAATGAATTTCACTAAAACTTTTGATCTAATTCTTCCATTAATTTTCTTGGTTTATGCTTTGCCCTTTTGAGCACTGCAGATCACTTCTGCACAGATTGTAAAATTGTTGACAATCCTATGAAAAGGGATATCTTCTGTGTTCCTCCACATACACCTGTCAGCCAGCTGATTATTAAAATCACAATTCTGCCAAGCCTTTCCCTTACATACTCAAGACAGCCACTCTCTCAAACCCTAAGTAGCAACCTCCATGCAGACTAGTTTCACCTCCTCAGCGTAATTTGCAAAATAGAGAACCTTCTTAGTCTTCCTTTATACCAGTTGCTATTACTGTAGAGCACACATTCTCACTTCCTCTCTGGGCACCGACCGGGGAACTTTTTTGGCCTATTCCTGCACTGCTCCTAAACAATGTGCTTAGCTAAAACAGATTTCAGCAATGATAGTTAATCTTGATTTTAAGAAAGAAAAAAAATTAAAAAAAAAAAGAAAAAAAGAGAAGATCTCACTTCTGATTGCTGCCTCTCTTTCCCCTTACACCATTCATACCTAACCAACAGTTACAGCTTTTACTATGTACAAAGGGATAAAATTACCACTGCAACTCCTGGTTTCCGGAGTCTCAAGACAAGCTAGTTACATACTCATACAGGATTATATACTAATGGATAACCCTGAACCTTCTGAGGCACCAAGTCAATTTCAATCACTGTGTACAGTGCTGGTGGTTTTACAAAAGTCATATGATCAACTTGGTTAAACCTAACACAATTCTATTAACCTGAGCTCCATGTGGAGTTTCCTGTCTGTTTGTAAGCATGTCCCTGCAGATAAACAGGGACATATAAACTTTCCAACTGATAAACTGTAACCCTCATCCAAGATTTGGATTAATCAAAACTTCTTGAAGTTTTGCAGGCACATGCCACAACAACTGCTTTTGCATTTTCAGAAGTGGAAAAGAATAATATTTTTTTAAAAAGACAGCCCATTCAACATCCTGAAGATTAAAGCAGAGTTCCAAACATCACCTGTAGCTGTCAATTGAAAAAGATTATTGACTTGAAAAAGTAAAGAGGGGTGTTACTGCAGAGCAACAGTTTACAGGGTTTGTACTAAACCATCCTGCACGTTTTATTCATATGAACTGTAAGCATTCTAGTTATAGCAAGGTAGCTTGATATTCAAAGCAAACTTACCAATTGAAGTAACTGGTGCATTATGATTTCACAAGACGCTTGCTTAAAGATACATTGGGAGCTAATCAGAGCTGGAGTTAATATCAGAAAGCTGAGCTCTGCACTCTCCTGACACTTTCACATACAACACAAAAGCCCTAGTTCAGGTAAGAAGTAAGTCTGTCAGCCATTTAAGCTGCATTCCAAACTGTACAATCACCTTAGCACAAATGTTTCTACACAAGAGGAGAAGTAACTACAGTGCAACCCCAGGAGCAGATACTCACATCTATTGCATCTCTTTCAAATATGCGGAGCTGCAGAAACAGCTCAAGCTTGATCTTGCGTTCTTGAAAAAGCTCCTCCATCTGAGACTGTGCTTCATCCAGCTGCTGCAGGACTGTCTCTATGTGGTTGATTGAGCTGTTATGGGGGGTTTTATTACTAGAAATGGCAGAATCCCTATTCAAAGCAGAGAGAGAGGTAAGGTGGGGGGGAAGAAAAAAGTAAAATATTGAAAAAATGTGGATGTTATACACACCCACAAAAATCTAAGATTTTTGTAATAAGATCGGTGCAAGTCTATTACATGAAAGCTAAGTCTGTACATCTTTGTTAATAAAAGTCCAAATTATGTCTTAGTACTTGAAAAAACATTAAGAAATAGATTACTTTCATTTTTTTACTAATCCAACATTTGAGAACATTCTGTTTACAGGAATAATGAAATAATTTTAAACCACAGACAAACCCTTATACTGTGAAATTGAAGTGACATATAGTAACTATCTACTGAACCTGAAAAAAAATCAAAATTAGATACTAATAAAAAAATAATTGATATTAATTAATATTTTACTTTACTATAAAACCTTCAAAAGAGCTTCACAGAATATCAGATGTACACCAGAAGAGTTTTAAATCAAAATTTCTTTTACCTTAGTTGCTGTATAAGATCTTCACCTTCTTTTATGACATTGACTGTAACCTGAAGAGTGGTCTGTTGTTGTTGACCAAAACGTTTAATCAGGTCTTGGACAGCCTCCACAGACTCAGCATAGACATCATCAAGCAGTTCTTTCTGTAGCTCTTCAAGCCATGTCCATAGCTAAAGGAGAGGAGGGAAACAAGAAATGTAAGCCACAGGATAAGGCAATCACTATTCCAAAGCAACCTCCCTGGACAAGAGAAAATAGACTGAGGTGGGAGGGAGAACCAGGATTTGTTTCTCTTCATAGAAAAATGCCATCCTCCATTTAATAAAAACGAGTCTTTGTTTCAAGTAAGGTTTTTGCTTCTTGGAAATACCAGGAAAGCTTTAGCTGTGTTGCTAAGTCACCCTTTCTTTCCTATTTTCCTTCTATAGTACTGAGTGTATCCGATTGAGCAGCGTTCATAGTGAGAATCCCATCTGCAGCTCTGCGAGAGAGTCACTGGGAGGGAAATGCTATGGTAACACTCCCTGAGAGAAGGGGGAAAGGAAGGAAGGAAGGAAGGAAGGGAAATACCATTGTAGCCACCATCAAATTTACACTGCCAGGCTGACACAGGCACACAGATAACGTAACACTTTTCAGTGGCCTTCAAAAAAAGGAAAAATAAAAGGATGTTTCAGAAAACAAAATATGAGGAGAAATTGGATGTGATGGGTTATTTTTTCTGTAATGATCTCTGCAGCTATGGCATTTATCTTTATCTTGATTTCAACCTATAGCAACAAAAATAATCACTAGTAATTCTATCAGTTATTTAAACGTTTCCCCCCTACTTAACATGTGCACATAGTCCTGTTCAGAACTGCTAGCGCATTGCAGCTTATTGAAAAATCTATAGGCATATGCCAGTTAGGCATCGGTACTTGTCACTTGAACCCTATTGTGTTCTTTTTCACAATTTCATCAGGCAAATTGTTGCATCTTAAGCTGTGTGAAAATTACTCATCAACAAACCGTCAGCCTTCTACTGTGCGACTGATAAAAACAATGCTGGAAGAGAGGGGAGCACAGCTGACTCCTGCAGCACTAAAAGCACAATGGAACAGCTACTCTCACAGGAAACATTCAAACTGGTTCCCTCCTATTTTACCATCACATCTCAAACCCTGCGATTCCAAGAACAAGGATTAAAGTTTGCTTTTTATCCTGAAAGAATAAGTCTGTTCTGATTGAAAGTACTAAGATCTTTTGACTGTATTTTAATCTCCACCTTTTTATATTTTAGAAATACAAATAGGCTTTATTAACTTTGAACCTAATTAGAAGGTTAACACAGTTAAAATACAGACAGCAAACTGTCAAAACTGGCTTAATTTCAAAAGAGAAAAAAAATACTTTATCTCTTTGCCTATCATTTTCTACAGAAATACCTATTTCATGCTTCTGTTTGTATAATGTTATAAAGATTTCCTTACTACCAGTGTAGCTATTTTAAAACAAAGATTTCAGTGAAGGACTCCAGATCTTGATTGATTCCTTTGAAGCTTCCTTTTAATACCAAATGCTAATTTTTATCTTAGAGTCTTATAGGCCTCCTGAGGTGGGTTATGAGTTAACCAAGCTATAGGCTAAATTTTCACAAATTGGGAAGAATGACAGTTAACCAGACTTTTTTCTACAAATCTACTACCCTCCCTGCCCCAAAACGGAACTGCCTATTCATAAACACTGTGTTGTTCTGACCACTCATATCCCTCAAAGACAATGCCTGTCACAGATTTGAATGCAACTCCATAGCCGTGAACACCACAAGCTCAAGCCACTGCATTCTCTCTTATTAAAAGGAATATAAATCAATAGAATTCAGCAAGTGGGTCAAAAACATTCATCAACAGTAATTCCAGTATAAACCAATGCAGCATCCAAATTTTTCTTTTTCCCAAATGCATGCTTAGGAATGCAAATTTTACTTTGAAAGAAATTAAACTTAAAAGCAAGAATCCTGGCAATATAACCTGAAAACTTTGCTCAGTTCTCAATGCCCAGCAGACATGGTTTTATTCCTCTCTTAGCTTATGAAGAATATGTCTGAACCATAACAATAGGACAGTATGTTAGACACCTTTCAAGTGAGCTGGTGTGTACATGTGCAGCTTTCAACTGTGCAAATATATTCATTCCAGAGTAACACTATTGTTGACTGCAGATCTCATGCATTTGGTGCTGGCTGGAAGAGCTTGATCTCACACTTATTATGTTGTCTCTAGAGGTCAAATTTTCAGAAACATTTGTTACAGACAAACTGGAATTAAAGCCATTTTGAGTCTCTTGGTCTGTATCAAGCTTGGCCCTTGGCTACCTTACAAGCACCTGCACTATGGCTGAAGGCAGGTCTAAGAACCACTTCAGTTTTTTCCAATATGATATTTGCAGCTGGGTTGCATCATACCCGCAGGGGAGACACCTCACTTCTGTATTGTTTTGTTGTTCACATACACTGCAGCCACTTCTCTAACTGGGTGGAAAGGACCTGGCAGGAACAAAAGAACTTAAAACTGTTGGATTGGTGATCTACTGCGCATGGGAATACTCCTCTTAAAGCTCACTCTGACAGCTGGAGACCAAGCCAACACAGAACAAGCATGCTTTTCCCTCTGTGTAGCCAGTTCAAGGCAACATCTCCTGCCTAGAGCAGAAAGACATGGGCACTAGCACAAATGCTATGTTGACTGGCTTAGTGCTTGGTTAGCACAGCATGTCTGTATGCATAGTATCTTGCCCCCAAGGTACCAAAAGGCTCAAAAATTCACTGCATTTTGCCTAGTTCATTGGCCAAGTTGCCTCCTGCTTTGGAAGGAAAAATATTTTACAAATGTGCAGAAAGAGAAGGATAGTAATTATTATGCATTCCTTGCCTAGCTGTGATTCATATGCTGTTGAAAATGGAACAATTTAAGCCATTTCTGAAGTGAATAAACAGCTCTGTGGCACCTTCATAGCAAAAGTTACTTTAATACATTACCAAATAAGCTTTTAACACTTTTCTGCTAAGTACATTTCTGACAAACTGCTTCCCCTTAAAATAATCTTGATGTTTATACACAAAAGTTAGAATAAAACCAACACAGATGAAGAAAACTGTCAGGTTATTAAAGCTGGATAGAAATTAATGCAATTTACCGAGAGGAGCTGAATTCATTATGGGTGGCAACATCCAGCTGGCTATCTACAGCTTGCAAATCAGAATGAGCACTGGATATACTAGAAATTACATAAATTGGTTTTTTTGTGTTTGTTGTTTGTTTTTTTTTAATACAAAACTAAGGATGAAGAGGGTATAAGATTGCACAGGAAAGCCAAAGAAAGCAAACAGTTTACAGCAGGGGGTGAACAGACTGGAGCTTACCCATCCATGTTCAGCAGTGCAGAACTACAGAAATGAGGTAACATATTATTCCATAGAGGAGAGTTTGGCAACAAAAATCCAGTGGGGAAAAAAAACCAAGCAAACTTGTAATTACAAAACTATTAACTTTCTCTTGGTGTGAACTTCTGAGCAAATTCCAGGCATGGGTTTTTTTTTCTATTATCTGTCAAAAAAGCAGCACAAAGACTCCTAAACAAACCACCGAGTCCTATGACCTCAGTAAGAACTTTATCCAGCAGGAAGAGAGCTCTAACCAACAGTGAGAAAGCCATATAAATAATTCCATCCAGTCACAGAAGGAGGCTCCTCTGCCCTTTTCATCTGCTCTTCACATCTTATCAGAATTAAAGTTGGAGAGGGAAATAAAACTCTGAATCCCTGACAGGCAAATGTTTCACCAAGCTTTTTTTTTTTTTTCTTTATCTAAATATAGCACAGACTGAGAAACATCTGCTTGAATGAGCCTGCATCCTGTGCTACCTCTTTCCTAAGTTCTTGGGAGCATGCCATTAGTCACTGAGATGGTATTATTTTAATTGTCTGCAACATCCTGGAAGTTTCAGTATTTCCATCACGGGCCTCTATCCATTTAAGTCCCATTTCTGCAATCTCCCGAAAGAATGTAACTAAGACCTTACAATATTTTTCCAAATATAATAAGAAAACAATTATTTTTTAGTAAATACCTTCCCAAGTTATCTTATTAGGATAAAATATCTGTCACTCTCTTTTGCAAATTATTTTTATTTCTCATTTCCGTAATTATGGCTTTTGGCTTTTCAGCAGGGTAAGACAAAGAAAGGCACACAGTTTCTGCATTTAAAAACTGCCAATTCCTCTTTTTTGCCCCTGCCCCCAGCACAGTGATGGAGTATGTTTATTACCACAGGCACAGCTGTTGAAGGAAGTATTTTATTTGTATGGGGTCAAATGTTGCAACAGTATTCCCAAACAGGTATAGCTGGGCATAGAAAGGGGTTGATGTGTGTGTGTGTGTGGATGTGTGCCTGTAAGCTTTGGCTTTCAGGACACACAGTGGACAAAAACTGCATCTTCTCAAAACCAAAAAAGGTAAGATGATAAACCTTTGGGAGTTTGTCTTCCAGGGTCTTTCAGCAACATTTAAGATATTAAATGCCTGTATATTTTTTTTTAAAAATATATTTAATTATCCTAAAAAGCTTCAAATATCCCTATTCGTTCTACAGTTAAAATGGAATCATGTTCCTATTCAGAATTCATCCTTGAAGCAAAACCAAGTCTCTCTCATCCCTTCTAAAATTACATAATCTATTAGTACTCTGTTAGCATTCACCTCATTTCTTAATGGAACAAGAAAAAAAAAAAAAAGTCTATACTCTAGCTTCACACAGTTTAAAGGCCTATTTCTGCCTTACTTCTCTCAAGCACTTCATGCTACTTCAGTAATACTTGGACTTGAGTTTCACCCTACTGTAGCTACCAGTACTATAAAACTCAAGAGAGAAAATCTGTGCTGGGTAACTGGATTCTACTCTTACTGAACTAGTAACCCACAACACACGTGAGTGTGCTGCCCCTGAATGTTTCCCTTATTTCAGATTTAAAAATTGTCCTCCTCCACTCTCAGGTTCATGACAACCAGCACATCCAAGCACTGATCAGAGGCTGCACTTCATACACTGCCAGACCTGTCATACTGAGCACGGCTGTGCTATAATGACACAATAAAAACATCAGAGATGCACAGAAGCCTGAAGAATGGAGTCTTCACACTTTGATGAGGGCATCCAAAAGCTACCCTGCTGTCTGGAAAGGGCACACAGAGAGGAGGGCATCCTTAGTACAACATACACATTTAAGCTGCAGACCACCAGCAGAGAAGACCCAAATACTCAGGAGTGACAGTCAACTAGACAAGCAGGCCTGTCATCTCAGGGGTCCACCCTGAGATGAAACAAATGGAAGGCTACATGGTGACACCCTTCCATACCAGACAATGCAAAGGAGGGCATATTTCTTGCAGTGAGTTGTGAGACAAAGTGAGGCCACTATCTACAAGCATTTTTGGAGCATGTACATATGCCTCATAGCTAGATGGAAATGAATCAGCAGCATTATGGTCAGAGCAAGACCTCCTCAGCCTTCCCATGCACTCACACCCTCAAAATGATGCCACCATCCTTCAACAGCTTCTCTAGACTACAGTTTCATTACTTCTGTTCAGTAACAGTGAGGTTTTGTATTTGAAATATTAGCCAATTCAACTTCCCTTTTCTTTGTTTCAACATCAGTCTATTCTGGTACAAAGTTTAGTCTGAGCAAGACAAAAAAAAAAGAGACACATCATCTAGCAACACCATTGAGCATATTGTGTACACATAAAAGCTGCTCTGAGCTATTTTATAATCAACTTGTCAGAATCCACACAAAAGGTTATACGCAAAAAGCCAGCAGGCTCTTAAGAGATCATTCTCTTCCACAAACAGTCAGACTGATCTGTATTCCCACACTTGATTCCAGATAGGAAAATATCTCTTGCTCTACTTTGGCACTACTACAAACACCTGGCTTGGCCAGGATTTCAGGCTTCCCACTCAGAGAGATGCTGAGGGAGCCATTTCAGAGAGTGTCTGTACGTATGTGTTTGGAAGAATGTGAATTCACACCAAATTCCTGTTCATCTCCACTTGGTGACAGATTTCACAACAAAGGCTACTGTGAATCTTGCTCCTATGTTTTGCACACAAATTTTTATTTTAATAGTTTATTTAGAAAAATTATCTTTTAATTGTGGGTTTTTTTCTCAAGCTGTCCCATCCCACATTAAATGTCAAAAGGCACAAAAGCCGTAAGTGATTCAGTGTCTTGCAATCGTCAACCATTTAAAATGTTCAGTTACATTTATCCACTCTCATTCTAGGAACCTGCCAGTTTACAGTACTTCCAATACAAAGATTCTGATAGAGATATTTATGGTCCTGAGCACTTTTAAAGCTCGCCAGTACATGCCTTAACTTCAGTACGTTACTTACTGAGAAATTTGGCTTCTAGATTGAAATTTACTGCTGTTTGCAAGGGAGTTAAAAATCAGCCTTCACAAGGTTGATTTGTAAGGTTCACAACCTTACAAATTTGAAGCTAGTAATGACATAACAGCATGGAATCATAACTTATGTATATAGCAAGCAACTGATTTTCTTGACCACCATTAAGCAAAATAAGCAATGGCAATACCATTACATTACATCGTATTTCTGGATTCTCTGAATACATTTTTTTTTCCCCAGTGAGTTATGTGGTCTTTCAAGCTTGGTCCATGAGGAGTCTGAGAACTTGTACCTTGTCTTCTGATGTTTGCAAGCCACAGGGACCACTACCAGCTTGTAAACCACCTGGCTACAGAACTTGCTAAAGACAGGCTGCTGCACACATACTACACAGCTGCTTTGTGCACAGGTGTAGCAAAAGTCTGTTACTTCCAGGACGTGTTGAGCTGATTTATTGCTTCTGTGGCAGGCAAACTGCTTCTGAAAGAAGAAACTGTGCTGATTTACGTAGTGTGAACGGAGTAACAATGCTTCACAGACACTGCAGGGTTGCTGCTTCCCAGGGAAGCTGGGAAAAAGCTGCAGGCAAATTCTGTGTCAAGTATAAAAGTTATGTAACATTACAGTGGAGAAGCAGGGACTGGATGGATATTGGAGCCAGCTTTCAAAGCCTCAAAGCAGCCATCAACTGACATGACCATCTTCTCTCAGCTCTGTGGCTCCCTTCAAGCTGTTACATACAAACAGGATCCCTATTCTTCATGCCTATTTTTTTGACCAGAAATAAAAAAATACAAGAAACAAAATTTGGGGGGGTTTTTTGGTTGTTTTGTTTGGGTTTTTTTTTGTGTGTTTGTGTTTTTTTAAAAAAAACAAACAACTGAAACATCTCTTTCCAGTTCAACAACTGGCATATTATCCTACTACACATCTACTCTCTTCACCAGCTAAGCATGCACATTGTTTTCTTCATTCCTTCATACAGCAGAAAGGTTACGTGCTTACAGGAATGCACTAATTTATTCAGCAGCTTCCCACATCCTGCAGGAGAAATGCAATTCTCCTGCCAACAAAGCATGGCTGACTTTCAGGTTTAGGGCATTTCTATCTTTCATCTGCTTTGTGATGCCTTCTCAGCACTCCACATGCATGTTTGATAACAAACAACACTGTTGAAAACAGATCAGAATACAGACGTTACAAGACAGCTTTGAGCTTGCTATTTCTTTGCACCTTAACTAAAGAAACTAGACTAGAAACTATGAACCACCTGCCTCACACTCTCATCTATACTTTAAAGGAGAAGGAAGATAAATAAAATCAGTCTTGCTTACATAAATAAGTATTCTTTTTAACTTTCCTTGCTTTATTAGGCATAGAGGTCAGCCACATGACAAAAACGAAACATCAACATGTGCACATCAGCCACAGTACCTTTCCAGGCTGCCATAGTAACAGCTGTGTACACTTACAGGGTCACAATAATAGCAATTTTCCCTAAGAAAAAAAATCAAGATAGAGATTTTTATTTTTTTTTTCAGTAAAACATTATTATCTAGGGTAGCAGTAGCAACATTCCAGAACATCTGGATAAGCCTCCCAGAACTACTCAACAGTGATTCACAGATCAGTCTGCCTTATTTGATTTTTAATTTTTTTTAAATTTTTTTTAAAGCCTTTTACTTGCAAATCCTTTTACAGCATCTGTCTTTCGTCACTACAACCAACTGTATCAATTTAAATACCATTCCAGCTGCTGCTCTTGCTGCTAAGAAAAACAGTTAATGATGTTTCAGCAGCTGACTTCTCCTGTACTCCAGAACAAGCAATGGAACAGCACCATGTGCTTGAGAGAAGTGAAACAAAAAAGTTGCCTCCTAAGAATAGCATATGATACAGAATTTATGTTTTGTTTAAACAAGTAGAGTCCTGGAAGAGTATCAGCAAGGAAGCATCTAACAGAAAACTGATGGGGGAGCTATGTACTCATGTCTAGAGCTGAGAAGTATTTCAATCCTGACCTCCTTCAAAGACCAAGTCTTACGCATTTATTTCAAGTGCAAAGCAGATGTACAAAAAATTCCCACCCTTATCCTCAAGGTTTTGCTGAAGAAGCTATTTAAAATACTTTGCTTCCCCCACTGAACAGACCATTTCTTAATGTAGGCTGAAGGGTAGGAAGACACATACTCTGACATGTTTTTATATTCACCTAGTTTGAGCAGTAAGAAGATCTAACAGCTCTAAACAGAAGTAATCCACATTTGTTGAAATTTGCACTACCTTTAACCAGAATTCTTTACCAATATCCTTATTCTTGATCTAGTTTATTCCACCCTCTTCCATGAACTTATGAATTCCTATGGTCAGTGTACTGAATTGGAACAGAAAAATTATCTGGCTGAAAACTAAGGGTGTTTAGCTGATACTTTTTTTGTGCTGTATCAGTTCAACCTTTGAAGAAGTCTAAAAATTGCAAACTATTGTCATTATGACATATATGTCATTATGAGTTAATTTTTTTAGGTTGTGAAAAGCTGTCAATATACAACAATATAAAACAGAGAAAGAAAACAAAGTCTCCATAGGCAACAGGGTTGCTTTAAGTAGCCCTGTGCTTCTGCCCTGCATTCGAGCCTCCTGAACTGTGTCTGTCTAAACATGTGTCTGACAACTCCGTTAAAGGCACTGGAGAGCTGGCTGGATTAAAAAACACAACAATCAAACCAACAACAAAAGTGCACAGTATCTCACCACCCATCATCCTGCAATGCTGTCTTTTAGCTTCATCAGTTCTCTGATCTGACCCTGCCCCCTTTCCTATGACTGAACAAGCATGTGTACTTCCAAAACAAAGGAGGTAGAAGCTGCTTGCTAAAGTAAAAATAAAAAAACCAACCCCCCAAAAATCAGTAAACAAAACAATGACCTTAGCCCAGCCCCCAATCCCCAGCAACTTACAAACCAAGACTCATCATACAAACAGGGGGTTCATGACTTCCTATGGCAATGAAAGTAACATTAAGCCTTAAAACTAATATTGTCCAAAGTTATGGCCATGATTTAGCACCAGTTTTACCTCTTTAACATGGGTGTGGAAGGACACAGACATGTCCAGCAGGATCTTGCGTTGCTCCACACGCCTAACAAAATCCTGTATCCGGTCTTCGAGCTGATGGGCAGCTTGATAAATTTCCTCGGGGTCACACTCCCCAGTCTGAGCGAGCTGTTCAGCTGCTTCTAGGAGCTTATCTGCATTAGTGTACGTGTTCTGTAGAGAAATAAGTTAGTTCCACAAGGTTAAATAAAATTCAGTCAGCACACTTTAAAACCATTCCACTTATAAAAACAAAAGGACAAAAAAGGCCCTTGGAATGTAATTTTCCTCCTTCTTTTTTAAAATGTAGTAGAACAATCTTGCTAAAGATTTTGTTATATTTGTAGATAGTTTTCATTCATACCTGTGAATAAATTCAATCTTTAACTCCTTATTTATGTCTATTAAAAAATAACCTCGATTCAGAACTTGGGAGCCTATTTATTCTTCCTCAGAATTAATATTTTATATTCACAATTAGAATAAAGATCAGCCTAAATGTCTTGCAAACTGACCTATTTCAACATGGGAAAAATCACTATAGCCATGGCCAAAAGACTTTTCAAATGTGTATTATTAGAGATGAGACTGTCCTAGTTGCTGGTAGAGATGCTTAACATCAAATCCACACATCTAGCAGGAAGGTGAAAAGTAATATGGCACAGAGGGAGAAAATTTATCTCCATTCTTACACAAAAAAGAGGTATCCAAAATTCACATGCATCATAATCTGTGAAACAGCAGCAACAGAGGAGAATTAGAAATCAGTTATGGCTAAGAGTGGAATACCACCTCAATACACCATAGGATTAACAAATGCATATCAGTAGTCCAAAGCAGGAAACAGAACAGGAGAAGTGTGGTACCTGATGTGGTGAGAGTGCTCTGAGTCAGAGAAGAGAAGAGATGTTTAAAAGCTCTTAAAGCTTAGAACTTGTAGCCTGCGTCTCTTTTTCATTAATTCAAAATAGGACTGATTCCAAATATTTGCTATAATTTGGGTGTTCTTTTTGAGCCCAAGCTTGGGTTCTCACACCTTAGCATGGTTCTCAAAACAGACTCATCAAGAAAGCATAGATGGATGGTAACCACTGGAGGAAACTAAAGAAAAGTCTACACTAATGAAGCTTTGCTTATGTCACCACATTAGGTGTCCTGGTAATTTTGCAGTATGGGTTATAGGACTAAAAAAAAAATAAATATTGACAATTTCACAGAATCATAGAACTATTCAGGTTGGAAAAGACCCTTTCGATCACCGAGTCCAACCATCATCCCTACTCTACAAAATTCTCCCCTAAACCATATCCACCAACACCACATCCAAACGACCCTTAAACACATCCAGGGATGGTGACTCAACCACCTCCCT